GTGCACCCCTGGACCTCAACCGCAAGGATCCGATCGCAGTGTGCACCGCTGGACCTCAACCAGATAGTTTGCCAAACAAAATCCACAAACACACACAATCACAAACACACAACTACAAACACAACTACAAAGACACAATCACAAACACATAACCACAAACACAAAACCACAAACACACAACCACAACCACACAACCACAAACGCACAATCACAAACACAATCACAAACACAATCACAAACACGCAACTACAAACACAATCACAAACACACAACTACAAACACAACTACAAAGACACAATCACAAACACACAACCACAAACATACACACAACACACAACCACAAACACACTCTGACATTGGTTTTCAGTTACACTCAGTTCCCACGTTGAGAAGGAAGGCGATGGAACGGCATGGTGAAAGGTCCAAAGACTTGAAGGTGTTTTAACATTGAAGTTTCTCATCTGCAGTGGTGCGACGACGACGCGCGCGAGCGGCGAGGAAAAGGGTTTAGGGGAAGTAGCATGAACCACCATGGAAACAAACAAAGAAAGAGTGGAGTGACAGCTTGTACAACAGTTCGGCAGGTACGTTTGCAGCCCCCCCCCCCCGTGGCCTCTTCGTTGGCCATCCGCCACTGGGGAGGGGGATGGCCCCCCTGCCTTGTTAAGTGGTGGTAATGGAAACGGTGGCATTGGACCCTTTGGTACAGGGGGTGACACACACACAAACACACAACCACAAACACACAACCACAAACACACAAACACACAACCACAAACATACAACCACAAACACATCCACAAACACAACCACAAACACACAACCACAACCACAAGTACAAACACATAATCACAAAGACACAACCACAACTACAAACACATAATCACAACCACTACCACTACCACAAACACAACTACAAACACATAATCACAACCACTACCACTACCACAAACACAAATACAAACACATAATCACAACCACTACCACTACCACAAACACAACCACAAACACATCCACAAACACACAACCACAAACACAACTACAAACACACAATCACAAAGACACAACCACAACCACAACTACAAACACACAATCACAAAGACACAACCGCAACCACAACCACAACTACAAGCACACAATCACAACCACTACCACAAACACAACCACAACACAGCACACAACCACAGCACACAACCCGAGGACCCACAAGCAACATCGAGAACTACAATACTCACGACTATGGCAACATGCTCCTCACTATGGCATCAAGACAAATTATTGAAATGTCATGGTGGGGATCACTCGAAGTAAAGTAATTTATTGTTTTTTGTTTTAAACTTTTTGTTGATTTTGAAAACAGGCTCTCTCCAATGAAAGATTTTTATAACACTAGCGCATGTGCACCCTTCCCCACTGGCGCGGAGCCGCGCAATTGCGCTTTCTCAAGGCCACGCAAAACGCATAACACAGCAGCATCACCTTTCGAAATCTAGTTGTTACACGTTGTTACTGTGATGAAAAGTTTAAGTGTACAAGTTAAGAACATCGAAAAATCATGTTTGTTCTATTAAAGGGATGGGTAAAGGACCAAGGTTTACGTAACATTTACCTAGGCAACTTTTCGGCTTCCATCTTTGCGGGTCCCCGATGTTGGGGACCCCCTTTTCGCATTTGAATGTTGGCATGTATGCTCCTGCGACATGAACTAACTAGAAAATGATTCAAACTGATGTCCAAAAAAAAAAAACATACAAGTTAGGGTTCATGGAAATCTATCAGCTATATAGAAGCTATGCAGCCGACACTGACAAGCCCCCAAACCCCTTGTGCGGTGCGGAACATAGCAATGTTTTCCCAACTCAATCCCGTGACTGCAACCCTGGATGCCCTAGAGTTGTAAAATTATTTCATATGGTAAGACCAGAATCCTTGATTTAACAAAAACAAAAAAGTCAAATGGAAATGGAAAAGTCAAAGTCAAAAAAACAAACTGAAAAGTCAAAAAGTCAAAAACAAAAGGCACATAAAAGTCAAAACAAGTCAACCATAGACCACAGCTCGAAAAAAACAATATCACGCAACAAAATCAAAAAAGTTGAAAACAAAAAACACAGTCAACAAAAGTGGACAAATGGTTAAAACAAATCAAGCGCAAAAAACATATCAAAAAAGTCAAAAAAAACAAAAACACAAAAAATAAATAAGTCGAAAAACATGTCAAAAAAAGTCAAGAAAAAGTCGAAAAACAAGTCAAAAAAAGTTGGACCTGGGCAAAACAACTTTTGTTTTGACTTTATGACACTTTCTGATTTGACTGTTCTTTGACTTTGACTTTTGGGATTGACAGGCTCTCTCCAATGAAAGATGTTTATAACCCTAGAGGATCCTAGAGGACAAATCAAAATCAACTACCAATGGTCTGGCAGTTCCAAGTCACGTAAAGTGGAAGCAGCAGCAATTGCCGGCTGGTGACCTTGACAATCGAGGCGGAAGCAAGATTGGTCGGTCGGCGAAAGAAGGGTTGATACGAACCAGGGTGGAATTCCCTTTGATTTCCAAGCTCTCAACCTTCCAATTCAGGGCACCGGAACACTCTTGATTTGAGATCTTGAGTCAGTATTATGTGATGTTGAGAAAGCACTTCCGATGGACCAAGAGCTTCGAAGTGTTCTGGCATCAGGCCGCAAACTATGCTAGAAGCTCAATGTGTTGTAAATCCAACTCCGCACTGCCACGCGCTGCGTGTCGTTTTTCCAGATCAGCAACTGCTGAGATGGAAGGAAACTGGAGCATTCAAGAATGCTACGCGAACCTACCCATCGAGCTACAATGCATTGCCAATCCACACATGACGCAGTTGATCATGATTTAGGGTAGCTTTACTATCAGTTCGCTGCAACATATTCATAGAGACTTGAAAAAGGCAAATGCGGCAAATAAGCCTGGATCAAGGCTTTGAAATCCGCGCAGGCAAACACTGCGTTGATAAAACCTTCAAAGTAAGGCGACCTCTTTACTTCCGTTCTTTCCAGTTCCCAAGACTCTAAGACAATCTAAAATGTCTGAGTTGACACTATTGCAAATAGACACATTGCAACAGTCATACTTGAAAGAGGCTAACAACGAGAGAAAGGAAATTAAGGGAAGCCTTGGACACTGGGAGACTCCGCAAAGGTACTTTTAGCACCAGCGAAATCTCCTCGAAACCGCCTGCTTCGACAGTCAAGTTATCTTCAGTAATGGACCTGAAGCGGGACAAAGACTTGCAGAGAAGCATTTCATGCTCTTCTGCAAGTAGAACTGAGCGCTTTTGTGGCAAGAGTTGGCATGACCCTCCCCCAAACCTGCCACTCGTTTCGCAGTCCTTCATCTAGACTATGTGACTATCGGCATCGTCATTCAATGTGATCCAAATCAAAGTGATGTGTTCTGCTCCTAAAACCTTTATGCTCAACACCCATAGAACAACGGAGTCCTCATTCATTGTTTTGATACCCACAGCCCTGATTGCTGGTGGGTGCTCCTGAAAAGTGACACCATCTCACCGTAGCCGCAAAAGCTGTCCCTTTCAAAAAGCCTGTATATTCACACTTATGCAGTCACATGGCGGCCGAAATTGGCGCTCATGTCCAGCTTCGGTTCGCCTGGTCAAAGTCACCGAGTGAAACTTGGGCACACTTTGGGCAAGTCTTAATTGCACATCAGGTATATCAGGTTTGGGGGGCATGTCCTGATTCTCAGGTTTTGTTTCCATGTGAGGGTGGTGATTTATTATCCTTCAACAACAAGAAGCAAAAGCAGTCCAAGTGGAAGCGACCAAATCTGGGAGTTGTCCTACGTCCTGTCCACTACGAAAGCTGTTCTTTAATACTACAGAAAAACTCGGAAATTCAAGCTCTGGCTTTCGTGGATAAGAGTCGGCTTCATTCGGATCCCTCCCACATTCTCCCACATTCTTCAAAGGTGTTTTCCTATTCATGTTGCTGATTAGCTGATCACATTGCTACCGTGCGGACCCTTCTCCACCGGAGTGTGCACCCATTGCACCCACGCTGATTCCGCCCAAACAAATGTAACTCCCCGTGACGGATCACAACGGGTTGTTCCATCCTGAAACCGGGACGGATCTCAAAAGGATGGACGCAAGTCTTCGTCACACTCGGTTGTTCATTCATAGTACATACTCAAACATACGACATAGTACAGCACTGATCCTAATCTATTATAATTTGTTCTTTCACAATAAACGCAAACAAGCACTTAGAGGGTCTACGATCTAGTCACACATTGATTGATGGTTTCGCTGTCTGTTTGGGTTTTGAGCAGCTGCGAACCTCTAGAATACTGAGCCACTTGTCAACCCATCAGAAGGGAATGTTCTTGAGCTGCCAACCCTTGCATGGTTGAAAGGATTCTTGCAAAAGCTTTTCGACTGTATCGGCCTATCTCGTCATTGGCTAGTCAGAAGGCTGCTACAACTGAAACTGAACCGATGATTGCATGAGCCTCGTCCATGAAAAGAGTTCGGACGCCGGAGGTTGGGCTTTCGCGCTCCTGAGATGCAAATGTTCTGCACCGGGTTTGCACAAACCATTGGAGATACCGGCCCTCGGGGGTAGCATTGCTGGAGCCAAATCCTCTGCCATCTGCATATGTCGTCTTCACATGTCCAGGAGTCAAAGCCTTTGGATGCTGGCTTGATAAACAGTAACAGACCCACCAGGGGTGCCTCTCAAAGGTTTGGCCCATACCCGTTGGAAGGAACAACGGGCCCTGAGACCTAGCACCCCAGCAGCTTCTTGCAGCTCTGAAACTGTTGGGCTGAAGGCGCTGGAAGAGTGTCAAAGCTTCGCTGGGGTTCTGCTCTTTTAAAACCTCAACTGCGGATGCGGAAGGTCCAAAAAAGACTTCTCGCTGCTACAATATGTCTCGGAAGAGAACCAAATGGAGGTACAAGTTGAGACAAGCAGGGACACCATGGCACAAATATTCAGCTTTGATCTCAACTAGCCGGGAAGACAAAACTTATCGAAACTGAATTATCGTTCCGAGAGAAGTGCTGCCTCTGTCTTGTCCCTTGTCCCAATCCCAGCCAAGCTGTTCCGGGAACAAATAGAATTCAAAGCAGTGTTGTGGTTTTCCTGGTGTACGGTGTTCACCATAGATGCACACTAGCTAAAGCTAGCGATGCAGGGCCAATGCAGGGATTCATGGATAATCTGATGGGCTCAGGGTTTTTGAGTTCAAACCTATACCGTTCTAAACATGCTCATGAACTTTAATACGGGGGACACCAACTTCTAACATCTTCTCACTATGTGTTCAGCGGTGAAAACCTTTCTGAAGTTTTGACCCTGGTTTGTTGGCCTCTGGCAATTGTTGCAGGTCGACGGGTGAGACACAATGGCGCGCGGTTCATCGGCCTGCCCCGAACTCGCCTCCGTGGACACTAAGTAGCAAAAGAGTGAGACAAGCAGTGCAGCAGAAAACATTGTTTAACTTTTGACGTTGTTTTATTTGCTTAGCGTAGAAGAATCCAAGGCCATGGCCTCCAACCTACTAGTGATGGCCTCCAACCTAATAGAGATGCTGAAAACTCCTCATGGTTCAGCCTACATGGAGCTTGGAAGCTTGCCTGTGTGACTGGCAAGGCCTGATCCCAACCATCTTACAGTATGGTTTTCTGCCGTGCTGCCATGGCCCAGCCTAGCGTTGCTTTACCTTGGCAAGTCCAGGCGGGCAAACCAGGAAAGTTGAGAGCTGGGCGCTCGTCAATCAATGTTGGAAGTTGTTCGACTTTGGTTTTCACCAACAAAAGTGCCCCTATTCCAACCCTCTTGAGCTCCAAAAAACGGCTGAACCTGTCGCGAGCTTGTCTGCAAGTCAGCTGGAAAGCTGCACGGAAGCTCCAGGGGTCAACCATCGTCTCGTTTGAAATCGGTCAAGAAGCGTGTCTCCGGGTGCTCCGAACCAAAGTGCTTTGTAAGGCGGCTTACTGTCAACCTGCATCTTGCGTTCAGATGTTTGACTCTTTGACATGCCAAAAACTCCTCAAGAAGACGTGCCTACTTAAACCACCATGCACGTTGGCCTGAGGCCCACTGGATGGTGTCCCAACAAAGCAAAAACATACACAAACACTCATAATGACTCGTAACCGTTTGAACTGCAACATATCCGTGCGTGCTGAAGCCGGAGAGGCCGGCTGAAACACACAAGAAGAGTGCAGACTGACTGTAGACTGTTTGTGGAAAGACTGGTGATCCTATATATATATATACATACAGTCGAAGTAAAAATTGACTATGAGTTGATGCCGCTCGTTTCACCTCATCCTAAGCAAAACCATGGGTCAACATTTCAAGTGCAACAAACAAGTCAGTCAGTGTGGCTCAAGGGCAACTCCCACTTCCTCTCGCACAGCTGCAACGAGAGCTGTCCTGAAGATATTCTCGCTTTCTGTAAGCTTCCTCAAGGTTGCAGCTCTTCAGCTTTTGACATGTCACATCACTTAGCTGAAAATAGCTCAGACGCAATTTGATGTGTGGCCCTATAATATTCCTTACAATCAAACATGTGAATTTGCACAATGATACACATCTTAACAAAACTGGACCAAATAATGAATCGCTTCGGGTCTAGTCTCTTCAAGTCGTCTCTGCATCACCACCTTCGGCAAAATGCTGCGAAAGAGTATATAGTAGCGTCCGATCGCTCCTAGTAGCGATGCCCTTTGTTACTGGTAGCTTCTTGTTACTAGTAGTAAGGCCAGGAGCCCCTAGCAGCGTCCTTGCTCCTAGTGCCAAGAGTCTGTTGTTGGTGAAGCACTCCTCCAAGTTTATTCATACAGGATAAGCTCAGCATATCGTCATTGCCTCAAAGCTCGTTGGCTGCCAGTCTACAAGACAAGAAGTACGACTTTCTCTCGATGCAATAATGTTGCACTTCGGAACATAAGTTCTACGATCTCCCTAGATTCCTAGATTTGCATCCATCAAGAAGGGCTGCTGCGAACCTTACACATGTTGTCTAGCGCAAACGTGGTCTCATGGTTTCGGTGGGATAGTATATCTCAAACACAATATGTATGTTTCTTCTGCACACAAAAAAGCTTGCCAAGAATGGTCTGCTGAAACTCTTCAGACATATCACAATCTGTCCAGTGCCCCCACACATAGAGCATCCAACAAAGCAAGGGTTCCAATTCTTGACAACACCAACCGGAACGATGTTATTCAGAAGCAGCCGGATACGTGAACCAAAGCACGCACATACATTGGATGGACAATTTAGCTGACAAAGCCATCGATCACACACATGTCACGTCTATCTGCGTCTCCGCCTGACTCACCTTTCTCGTAAAGTGAATCGATAGGGCCAATAGGCCAATAGGGATGGATGGGCGCTTCCAAGGTGCCAAATTGCTGAACAAGGCCCTGCAGAACTTGGCGGTACAGTTGTTCTGCTTCTTCC